ATGTGTAGGAGCAGTCAACCCAGTAATGCCCAACTATGGTGCAGCGCCCATGATGCCAGCCATGCAAGCCATGCCAACCATGCCAACCATGCCAGGTAAATCCCCACAAGAAACTTTGATCATGTGAATTCAGAGACAGCTCTCTCTGATTTTGCACAGTGCACTGTAGATTAAAGGAATGCACCAAATGGCACTTTGCATGTGCAATGGCTCTGGAAGAATGGCATTATTGTAAATGTGTGGATTTTTTATTGTTTAGCCATGTGTTTACTGAGAAAACAGTTGAACAATGGAAAGCCAACTCTGTATTTCTGTGGACAGTAGTAATAAACTGAAAGAGGACTGTTTTAGTGTGGAAAACTGTCTTAAAGAATGTTAAATGGACTCATTCACAATTGAGAAAGCAGCTCATTGGGGTCTGCAACCAAATTATAGCAAATTCATTTGTAAACAAAAAAAAAAGACAAAATTGGCAATGGCATTTAAGATTTGATTTATGTGTATTAGTGTTTATGTACCGTGTTTGTTAAGTATCATATCATGTTGTGGTGTCTGTGGAAATCAGAAAACGTACAGAAATTAGGTTGCTTTGTCTCATACCTGAATGTGTGTAACAGTTTGTCATAATCGTCCTTACACAGCCATGATGATGCCTCAGGCTCCTGTTGCTGCTCCACCTCTCCCCGACCCTACACAGGTGGCAGCAGCACAGCAGGCTCTCATCAACCAGCAAGCCACTCTCATGGTCAGAATCGTGATGTCAAGTTGTGTTCAGCCAATACTTACTCCCATCTATACACATATTTTCCCGAGCTTCTTTGTCCTCAGTCAGTTTGTCCTTCCATCCCTCCAGGCCCAGCAGATGACCCTGCAGGCGATGACGCTGTCTCAGCAGCAGACACTGGAGCAGCAGAGAAAGAATCAAGTTGAGAGGCAGCCGAAGCGTCAGTCAGTACGGTACTCCAAGGAACGCTCACGCTCATCCTCCCCTCCATCTCCCTCACCCCCACGTGCCCAGCCTAAAGCACCTGCACCTAAACGCAGCCCGAGCTACAGGCAGCCGAAGCCAGAGGTGTAGTATGTTTTCATACACTACTGTGTGCCATTCTTGCTTTTTCCACAGGATGAATATTTTACCAACAAATTAAATGAAAATACTTAAAACATTAATATGTTCATCCATCTCCTAATACTTTGCTTAAACTTTTTGTAGCCCGTGGTCCATTTATTTTCACCCAGTCTAATAAAGAACAACAAATATTTGTTAAACCCATAAATTGCAGAAGCTGCTACAGGAACATTTTGTCTTTACATGAAAAACAAACAAAAAAAGGAGGAAGAAATTGCCTTGGCCAGTTCTTAGCTAGGTTTTGGGCTGCACCAGACATTCTTGGGGAGGTGACCAAATGTATGCTTTCTGCAGCAGTGTGCACAGACTGATGCAGACTTTGAAAGCAGACACTGGACATGCACACATCACTCTGCTACACAATTAGTTGCGTTCCCCTTTAAATTGAACCCAGAAAAACACACATGACTCTTGTGGAGGTTTCTGAAAGGCTGTAAATTTGCTTTTTTTTTTTTTTACAAGACATAGTGCTTCGTTACAGATTGGGCTGTAGCACTATGTACTCCCTCTTGGACTTAGATTAATGATTAAATTTATGTCTCGCTTACCTTTGTGGATCCTTGCAGACACATGAACAAGAAAAGCATGAAAGAAACAAAGAGGCATTGGCCTTAACATCGGCCCCACACTGGCTTCTTTTAAAGTGCAAGCTGCAATGACACATTGGATGTGTTGGTTGTCAAGCCATCAGCAGAGGAATATACTGTAATTTAAAAAAAGAGAGAAACTTAAAGCCGCAAGCGGCGATGGATGGGTCCTCGCACTTCCACACATCGGACGCGACCCATGTCAGGGTTGTGGCAGAAATGTGCTCCAGGCAAAGTGACAAACACCTAACTGTAACCCTTTTCTTAAAAAACGACAATTTGATCAAATGTGAAAAGTCTGAGGCAGATTGGAGCATGTACAGGGTAGTTACACAGTACTTCCTCTGTCATGGTGAAAGATCAAAAATCAGAGGGCTGCCGTGGCCACGCCCTTTAACCTTTGCAGATGATTTTGACAACATTTTACCTTCAAGGCGTATTCTACATACTACCCAAATTACAGTGCTCTGTGACTTACCCCATAGGAGGACTTAGCTCAAGTTGGACAAACAAACAATCCAAAATGGCGGACTTCCTGTTGGGTTTAGGGTATATGGTTGTCACTGACTTTTTTGTTGATCCTGACCTCCTCCATATACCTACCAAATTGCGTAGGTCTAGGTCAAACTTGCTTCTGATGGGACTCAGTTGAAATTTTCAAGGTGGCGCTGTGGAGCCATTTTGACATTGACATGTCCAGCTGCCTTAAAATATCTAAATTTTCACCAGTCCTGATGTGTGTGGCTATTTTGGTGAGTTTCCATGCATGTTTAGGCCCTCAAAATCGCATTTCAAAAGTCAGTGCAAAAATTATCACAAGGGTTACAATAGGGTCCTACACACTGTAGTGCTTGGACCCTAATAAAATGTTACCTGGTAGCCTATAGGCTACATTTGATGCCACGTAGGCTTAGTCTTTCTTCAAAACAGGCTACTGATATTACATGACACAGATGCTGGGAAATTTTTGTGGTCAAGGCTGAGGTTTCAATTAATCGTTACAGTTCATTAAATAGTCAAAGTGACTCGTGGTCATTGTCCAATGTTTTCAGCCTTGGTGTGCACTACATTTGCATTTAAGACTGTTATTGAAAAACCCAGATAAGAGAAAATAATACATTTGTTAGGGAATATTCTCAGCAGCAGATTGATCCACATTTGGTAGTTGAGTAACCATTTGTGGAAGCAGCTTGATCTGTGTTGTTAAGTCAAAGTAATCTACAGATCATGGGGATGAAGTGATGTGTCAGCCAGTTCAACAATGTAGCTCAAGTAAGGCTGAAGGGACTTTTAGTAGATTTTGAATCGCAGTGGAGATGCTAATATGGAAAAAGAATTTATCAGCTGTACACACTCAATGTTTATTAGTAAATGCATTCATTGTTGTTTTTGGTATTTTTCTATGATTTGTTTTCAATAGGAAAACATTTAATTCATATCAATTACTAATAATACAGAAACTTCAATTTATCTAAATGTCACTGGGCGTCTTCTCCTTATTTGTGATAACATGTTGTCCATTACTTTAACAGCCAGTAAGAGAAGTGGATTCAGAAGATCAACATGACCCGCAGTCATTCAGCGAAAAGATGGACTACTTCCAGAACATCGGTGAGTTGAACCGACAAACAACAATTAGTGAAGCATACCGATCTGTCACACTAATAAAACCACCTGCCAGATTTTGTCTTGTTTCCCTCATGCTGCCAAAAACACTCAATATTGTTGGGACACAGACACACCGGTGGTGTCCTGTGGTGTGATGTCAGCAGTGGATCCTTTGGGTCCTGTGGGTTGCTGGGTGGGGCCTCAATAAATTGGATTTGTTCCAGCGCATCTTATAGAATCTTGGCTGGCATGAGAAATTTCATTTTGGTTACTTTTGGCAATACCAAAACTGTACAAATGTATTGCCCAAATGAATAAATAGTTGTCTGTCTGGACCCTGTAATTCAAATCAACTGCATGTGGTTGTGTTGTCTAACTTGAACCTGACAAAATCTTTATATATATTAATCAGGACGAAGTAATGACAAGTAGTTCCTCTGGGCTCTACTAGCTTTTGATAGATGAAGAATTGTATTTTGCGAGAGTTAATCTGACATGTTTCAATTTTCCTGTATTTAGGGCTAGTTTGTGGGTAATTTGAAGGTCTTAAAAGTTTTAGTGTGTGTGTCTGAATGTGTGGCAGAAGATTTTTTGTTTGAGCATTTGTGTGAGCATTTCGGTCACACATGCAACCAAAAACCTGTCAAATGTGACTAACTCTCTCCATTGGTTCCACCTTGTTCCTGACACTTTGCAGATCTCTGGGCAAACTGCCTGAGTAGAAAAAAGAAACATTCACTTTCAGGTCAGATAGGTTTTAGAAGATTTCACTTCTTTTTAAAGTGACTTTTCATCATACACCTGAGTTGCACGCTGCAGTAACTGAGTGGAGGTTAGAGGCTGCTGTGTGCACCACAGCCTAGTAATGTCTACTAATGCCTGTGAGATGGTTCATGAACATCAGTAAACTGTACCGATAGCCTGCATATGAGGTGCCTCATGGACATTTGTAAGCTGTAGCCTTAGAAAATATTTTGGCTCACACTCTCTCCCTCTAAACTACAAGTCTCTGCATGCACTTCAGTCATGCTGTGCCACCCACCACCACAAGTAAATTCTTACCCTGTGGGGAACACTTAGATACGGCAAAACAACCAACATTTTACATTTCCTTAAAGCCTCGGTCACAACCGGCTGTGTGGGCTCCTACGGCCTGACTGTGTCCAAATTTTGTGCAGAATAGCATGTGCCATGAAGTTTGTCTTGCGAAATGTTGAGGTCGCAGACAGCCCGCAAGCACGTACGGAGGATTTTAGACAAACTGTAAGAATTCTCTGTGAAACGGCGACACAGCAAGTGTAACTTTTAAGGCACTATGGGAAGAAAATCTATAGTCTAAGGTGTACGTCGCACGCAATGAGGGAACAAGTGACCCTTGTGTGTAAAGCATGGCGCATGCACTCACAACTCATGAACAAAATCGAACGCACGGCGGGCGTACATCGCCCCACGCCAGGAGTATAAAAGGTGTACTCACGGCGCACGCCTGCATTTCGCCAGTGATCATAGATTGCATTATTGCCTCAAACAAATAATACATATACCATATTATAATCAGTTTTGTATTGCTTTAACTAAATCTACCTTTGCAAACAAGGGTTCATTTTAATGTCTGAAACAGGGGCAAGATTTTCTACAAATCCATGTGAAAAGATGAGACACTAGAGTCACTTTAGCTCTGACTTCACTGTTTCTGAGCTGAGTGTCCTCCAGTTATCACTTAAGAGTTATTTAAGTTACTGACTGTCCAGCCTGACACACACACACACACACACACCCCGTCTGTTGACTTTATCACTGATGTGCGGATCGCACACTGTACTGGGACACAATGTAAATTTTTTTAAAGAGGTAATCATTAGAGAATATGTGTAAACAACATAGATGAGAATCAGTGTGACAGCTGGTACGTGTCTCCGTTGGAGGAGCGGGTCAGCTCACTGGAGATGCTGCTGGCCGGTATCAGCTGCAAGTCAGTACTGAGGGTAACAGTGACACTGCAGGCAAGCTGTCATCACCAAGCTGTCAGGATCTGTGTGTGTGCGACACAAAACATGAAACCATATTTATTTTCATCACCATTTGTTATAATATTATATTTTAACTTTCGTCCTGAAATCAATTTGTATCGTCCCGGATCTATATACATATACTATATATATATATATAAAAAAAAAAAGTAAATCTCCCCGGAATGACAGGACGTCCTGAAGTACGTCAACAGAATTTACAAGATAGCATGTCACCTGATCACTCAAAGTGTCTCTGTTTTGCCGTTTGTTTTTGTATTGTTTTTTTTTTTTGAAAATCATGTCAAACTGACGTATGCCGTCAGTACGTCATCACAAACACATGAGGCAAGTATGACTGACCTTCTCTGTGTGTTCCATTCCCTTCCTAAGTGGTGAGTGCGTGCCACGTACACAGGTGGCAAGACAAACTCTAGAAGTGAGTACAATTTCCACGGTAATCGCACGTTGCAATTAGCGTCCCTGCTTGAATGTACATCTCACGTCACCCCTGCAACTCGCAAGGCAGACTTGCACCTTTCTGACAGAGCCCTTGCAACCTTTCCTCTACCTCCACGACCTCCACAGCANACATCTCACGTCACCCCTGCAACTCGCAAGGCAGACTTGCACCTTTCTGACAGAGCCCTTGCAACCTTTCCTCTACCTCCACGACCTCCACAGCACCCAAAACTCGCAGAAGATGTACAATCCCAAAAGTCATGTGTCTGGTTGTGACCAAGGTTTTAGTTCAGTCTGGCCAAAGCATGGCTGGGAACAGAGCTTTTACTGTCAGAGCATCAAACATCTCAGTGGAAATGTCAAAAAAAACTAGTCCTGTGCTGTGACAGATGGGAATCAGACAGAGCAGCCCTCCTCTCCACCAGCAGTTTAGCAGCAGGCAAACCAAAGCAGTCAGGATGGTAATACAGTTTAGCACTGTTATAGAGCCAAAGAAGGGCTACATTTCACTAACTTAAAGTTCCAGATCATCCTTACATAAAAGAACAGGTGAAATTTACATCTGCACCTTTTTTTCTGTTTACAGTCAATTATGTATTGGGTTAAGAAATTACCAGTGCGTTCTAAACTATAAAAAAAAAAGTTTACACATGGTAGAAGTAATTTGTGCCCATTCTCTTAGATAGCATAGTTTTAGTAACACAGTTAACGTGGAGATTACCCACTATATTTCCAAAATAAATCAAAAACTTTTTTTTACTTAATGATTGCTTGTAATGATTATATTAACATTCTAACAGCTCCTTGATGTCTAAATGAATTAAGTAGCATTTTAACTCACTGTGCTTACATTCAGTTTCCAATTTAAGGCTGGGTTGTTGCTAGTCTTCACCATTTTTCTCCTGGACTGTCCCGCAGGCTTTAAGGACCAACGTAAATCCAAAACTCCAAAGCCACGACCAGTATCCACCAGCCCACCCAAGCAGCAGCGCGCCCCACCTCATCCATCTCCCCCACCGGTAGCAACGAAGCCTAAGGGTAAGAAGATACATTTAAAAAATGACTAATTACTCAGAAAGCTAATTTCAAATTAATTTAAAAAACTCACCAAACATGTCATAAAAGCTATTTTTTGTCTTGCTATCTGATATCCAAAACTCACATTTTGAGACAAAAACATCTTAATTCACATTAGCAGAAGGTTTTTTGTTTTCGTATTTTTTGATTTAATGTGTCAAGCTGCATCAGATATATAATTTCCCTGCTCCCCTCAAGAGAGTCCTGTGCAATGTTTCTGTGGACTGAGGGGAAGTGATACAATAGTTCCTCTATAAAAAGCTAGCAGCAGCCTTTTCCAGCTGAAACGCTGTTAGGGTGAAGAACACTTGATTAGCCAGATTGGCTTGCTGTGAACATCACTGCACATCGTCTATGCCATACCTGACATGAACAAACTTGACAGAAACGCAACTCATTTGATTGACAGCTGTTTACTAAATGTTTAATTTGATATTGTACAGGATTAGGACATGTTTCCTTGGATGACAGTTAGGGCAGGTTTACCAACTGATGTATGCATCCATGCTTTGCACATACTGTTTTGTCTGAACCCTCAGGTGACCAAGCAACCCTTTCATCCTTTTCCATTCCACAATAATTGCCAAAACAGTAACAAAACGTAATTTAATTCTACGACTACATAGAACAAAATATAATGCAGGTTTGTGATGTTAGTCTATATTGTTTGAGATAGCAATGTTAGAGATGGGGACTGTTATGTGACAAAGACATCGAAAAGGCAGAGTAATGGTGCTTACTGTCCTTTCGAGGTTAACCAATCCACATTTGTCCTCTTTGAGTTTAACCAATTGACATTAAGACTCGCACAGCAGTTTTTTAATGGTAGCTCAGACATATCCACCCTGGAGATGGTACTTTCTATCTCCCTCTCCTGAAAGAGGTCCTACAGAACCAGTTCTGGCAGCTGAAACACATAACATTCAGGCCACTGTAAAACATCCTGCAAGTTCCTGCATCACAAATCGACCTATTGATTTTCAGTATATGGATAGTTTGTTTTCATAGACATCCTGTTCAGTGCTGGAAAAATGGGAAGGTGTAAATATGTGAGTAACTTTGGCAAGGAACAAGTCATTATGGCCAGATGAATGAGTTGAATGAGTATCTTTTAATTAGCAAGACTTGTGGGGTGCTCCAAGTCAGCAGGGGTCAGTACCTACTGACTGGGTGTCCACAATTAGTGACAGGGTTTTAGGGATGTGCAGGAACAAGTCTGAACCTACAAGACTTAAAGGATGTGCTGCTAATGTCTCTGTGCCAGGTAGCACAGGAAACCTTACAAGGTCTTTGTTTCTCATTTTATATTACAATAAAAAATAATTTCGCTGAGGATACAGTTTCTGCTGCTTCTCCCACAGTGAAGCGTTTCACAACTCCTCCTGCACAACAAGTGAATCCTCCAAATGAAAGACGTACCCCATCTCCTCTCGCGAAGCCTCTGTATGAACCCACCTCCAACATTCGGGATATCATCAAACAGTACAACAGCCGACCCCAACCGGAACCTAAAACCTTCGAGCCTGTCAGGTCAGTTCCAGTACTTCATCCTCTGTGGACACATTTCCCCAAATTTCAATTGGGTTTCAGCTGATCTGATATCCTGAAGAATCCTGCTTTGACCTTCTACATCTCTTTGCATTCACAGATGTGCATTTTTTTTTTTATTTCAAATGTTTGAATCAAAGTTTCTGTGGTTAAATAATGGAAGGGCATAATGTCTCTGATCTTTTTCTCACTGTTGCTGCTTTGTTGTACAGACTATATGTGATAAAACTACAATCACAACTTGTTAAATTAAAAATAAAATCTGACATGTTAAAGGTACATTTTAAGCAAGTGTTACCCATAAGTTTTAATTGGGACTCAGATGAAAATAAAAGTCAGATATCTGAATAATATATGCGATGTAACACTTTAAATATTCTAGAAGTTTAAATTCAGATTCTTAATGCATCTTGCAGAGACTAAACATAGTACTGCCCAAGACAGAGATTTGAATTTCTGAAAGGAGCATGACAACCTATATTGAATAGTGTCACAAAGCGCTCGCAAAGAAATCATTTATTATCAATCTTCAGAAATCTTATTTAAAAAACAAACAAACAAACAGGAAGTGATGCAGAGGCCATGATGCAGAACATTCCAGCTTATCAGTGCAATATGGAGGAGGTCATGTAAATACTTGAGCAAATATGTCTTCTTCTGGAACTTCATCATTTATCTGTATTATTGACAAAAAAGATGCAAAAGAATGAATTCACAAGTGTATACACATGTGAGAAGCAATTCTTGCAATCTTATTGGTCAGAAGTAGTCTGTGATGCCAGATGTCTACACCACCTAGTTGTCTGCCCTCACACTCTGTAGGTTGCTGTCCCACTGGGCAGTATTACTTTTGACATTTTACGTCTTTGGGCTGTCCCTGACCGGGCCCTATGGATCCAGACCCGACCACCACATACTCACCAGTGAGCTCCCCTCCTCTGCCTGGCTCCAGAGGGGGGGGTTCGAGAGTCATCATCTCTAAGTCTGAGGTCGTGGTTCTCTGTCACAAACTGGTAGATTGCTCCCTCTGGGTTGGGGAGGAGTTTGTGCCCCAAGTAAAAGAATGTAGTTATCTTGGGATCTTGTTCATGAGTGAAAAGTTGGAAAATGGGACATGAAATGGACAGATGGGTTAGTGCATCATCATCAGTATTACAGACATTGTCCTAGACTGTCGTGGTGAAGAAAGGCCTGAGTAAGAAGGAAAAGCTCCTTATTTACCAGTTGATCTGCGTTTCAACCTTCAACTATGATCAGAAACTTTGCATTATGACCAAGAGAATGCTTTTGCAGATACAAGCAGCCAAAAACAGTTTCCTCTGAAGGGTGGTCGGGCTCAGCCTTAGAGATAGGGTGAGGAGCTTGGGCATCCTGGAAGGAGATTGGAGTTAAGTCGCTGCTACTTCATAGTGAAAGGAGTCAGCTGAGGTGGTTCAAGAATTCGATTAAGATACTTCCTGGGTGCATTCCATTGGAGGCTTTCCAACTGGTAGGAGATCCTGTGTAGACCTAGGATTCACTGGGGAGATCACATATCTCATCGGGCCTGGGAACACCTTCAAATCCCTTAGAAGGAGTTGTAAAATGTTTGGAATGACCTGCCTGGAGACGGAGAGCACCTGTCTCCAACATTGACTGAAGACTGCTGCTTTTCAAAGGGAATACTACAGGTTTATGGTTGTCATTGGGTTGGTGACTTTACGCCATCATTATTATCAAAGACCTATACAAAAAGCATGTAAAATTAAAATATATAAATAACACTGTGTGCATAAAAACAGTGTGAAATAACAACTAAAGCATTTAACCCAAGTTTTATTATGGATACCAAATTATCTTTAAGACATCGCCAATGCAGAACATTGCTTTTTCATTGATGTTTCATGAGCAGCACATGGATTTACAAAAAAAAATCACTTAGAACAGTGAGAACCTAAAGAAAGAGGATGACATGCAGGAGAGGTCACGGGCCTGGTTTGAACTGGGGGACCATTGTGGTTACATGGTATGCATTTACTCCCCAGGCAACCTGGACAACATTTTGTTTTAATTTATTAAATTTTTCTGTGCTACTTTAAGTGAGTGTTTTTTGTGAATTATAAAGCTGTCTTCCCCTCATACTATCAAGTTGAAGATGACAACAAGTCCTTGAAAAGCATCTGTTCTCCAGCTAAATGAGGAGTAAATTGATCTAAGGGCCTTACTCTCTAATAACTTCTGTAATGTGTGTGTTTGCATCTTTTATTCACCTCACAGACCTACAATAAGAACCTTTGTAAAGAAGACAGATCCCAAAGAGGAAGCTCTGGCCAAACTCAAAAACAAATCACCAGTGCCACAACAGAAGGTGAGAGTATTCGGAAAGGGTATAGTTGCAAGTCCAAATACAACGCAAATGCATATATCTTTGGAAATTAAGAGTGCTACATTTGTTATTCTGTCATATGTGTCTCAGTCACATTTTCCTGTCCTTGCTGCATACAGAAGCAGTGGGTGCCTCCACCCCCTCTCAAAATCAAGACAGAGCAGCGTCCTCCGAGGACTCGCTCCCCCCCACGTTCTCCTCCATCCACCAGGGGACGCCGAGTTATTTCCAACAACATGAGGCAGAAACAGCGCTCCCTGGAGGACCTGTTTAGCTCACAGCGCTCAAGGAACTCCTCCCCTTCTCCCCCTCCCTCCCCACCACCTCCTCTACACCCAGCACCTGTCCTTCAGAACATCCCTGAGCCACCACCCATGGCTGCCCCGTCTCTCAGTGGGTGTCCCTCGCCTTTTCTCTTGCCACATCATGTTTACAAGCATTAAAGGATGATATGACCAAGGATGCTAATCAGCATTCATTCCACTGTTTGTTTTCTGTAGATATGATGCCAGATGAGGAAGATGTTCGGTCAAAGCTTCACCGCTTCTCTGCTGGGGTTTACTTCTCTTACTCCAACATGCCAGGAAAACTGTTCCTGCGAAAAGAAGTGAGATAGACATATATGCAAACACAACTGAGGCATTCATCAGGAAATTTGCTTCTGTTAACAACTGATCAAATGACTATATGTTAAGTGAAACATGTTGCTCGTAGTTATAAATCCACAGGTCATTAGTTTGGTTTTATGCCTTTCAACTTTACTCTTTTGCTTCACTCTTATCACACTGTGGAAACAAAAGGAACAGGGAGTAGAATAATGACACTAAGACAAGTATGTACTCCACGTTGTAGCTTATACTATATTTCATTTGGAATTTTGTGTTGAACACTGAAGCAATGAAGTAATAAATAGATAAAATATTAGCATTTACGATAGACTGGTGACCTGTCCAGGGTGTCACCTGCCTTCACCCTGAGTCGGCTGGGATAGGCTCCAGCCCCCCCGCGACCCTAATGAGGATTAAGCGGTGCATAGATAATAGATGGATGGATTAGTATTTACTTGCAAGAATAAAGCAAAAATACCGACTAAGCTACATAATTACTACAAATTCTTTACTAATGCATTTTACTACACAGTAAGGCATTTCATTTATGCAGTCACTGATTTACTACATAAGCAATTTGAAGTAGAAATATTGTTGTTTTAAGTCCACTTCACGAACCTCAAGCATTCTGTGCAGGTGTTCTACCCCAGAGAGATGTTCAACCGGCCATACATCCTCAATCTGTTGTGTGAACAGGTGAGTATACTTACATGTGTGTCTTGATATCCTGTAGACGTTATACTCTGGACAATATGTGATGTCTTTTTCAGATCATGAGGGACACCTACTCTGACAGTTGTGTAAGGCTCAGCAGGGAGGAGAGGAGAAAGATGAAGGATCTGCTTGGTGAGATTTTTTAAAAACTGTTTTAACTTTGTTCCAGTCCTCATTCACCAGTGGCCAGAGGGCATACTCTGTATCCTTAGATATATACTGAAACAGATAGTAATTTGCTCCTGCATTGTTTGTTTCTCAATTACGTGTTGTTGTTTTTTTTACCATTCCGTGTAGCAACTTTTAATGTTGGAACAACTATAAGCACCATCCAGGATGACACCATGAAGAAGAGGATTGTCATTGCCGCTCGAGACAACTGGGAAAACTATTTTACTCGACTGTTTCCTATAAAGGTGAGCATGAGTATAAAGAGTTACTCAGTTCTATGGGCGCCTATTAACTGGAAGACTTGTTTATTGTGAAATTTTCAGACTCGTCTCCATTAAACTAAAGGGACATTTCTGCTCTGTGTGCACAAATTTGGTCCTGGGACTAAAATGAGTGCTCGCTTGTCCATCCACACATGGGCACATGCTCAGGACTTAACTCACAAGATTTTGGAGGCATGACAATGGCTGATAAGTCCACTCCTTTGGCGATATGACTTGTGTTGATTGGTTATTGCAACTACTGGCTTTTGTTTTGTTGCTGTGTATCAAATATGGTATTGTAGGCCTCCACAGCTGGCCATAGTAATGAAAGGTACCTGGTTTAAGTTAAAATGAAAATTCACAGCTTAACATGCCAAAATTTAATTTTCTTGTACTTATTAACCTCAGAGAGATATACTGACCAAACACTATGTAGTAAATGTCAGTACTTAGCAACAACATGATGATTCGAGAGCCAAAACATTCTTAGTGATTTAGACAAATAGATCAGAGGGCAGTAATGTAAAGTAACTAAGTACATTTACTTTAAGCACTGTAATTAAGTTCAGTTTTTGGGTACTTGTACTTTACTTGAGTATTTCTATTTCCCGTTGCTTTATACTTCTTCTCCACTACAGTTCAAGGGCAAATATTTTTCCTTTTTGTTCAACGTTAAATTGCAAGGGCAGATCAACAATCCAAAATATAATTGACAAATAAAGTATGATGTCGTCTATTACTGTTGGAAAGTTCCAAAAATGTGAATGCAGATTCTTTACTTGTAATACTTAATTTCTATACTGTGGTAATGTTGAGCTTGCACCTATCACAGTTGCATGCTTGCAGGATTTGCAGTATTTGTGAATGCAGAAGAGACATGCTTCATTGTGAGGATGGCTTTGTACTCATATTTGCATCTCATCTTCATGTGCAGCCGGACAGTTGGGACGCTCAGGTTTTAGGTGTGTCTCACCGTGGCATTCGTTTCCTGAAGGTGGTGAAAGCATCAGGCATCAACCCGAAACATCTCCGTGTGCTTAAGAGCTACAGGTAAACCTCCTGTCAGCGTACATAAACACAGCAGAGAAAAAAGCAAAATGACTTCTTGTGATCCACCGTTTTAGTTTCAACCTTGTGAAGGACACAGTTATAAACAATATCAAACATTCAAAATATAGCAAGACAAACAAGAAGAATACAGCTAATAAAAATGACACATAAACACAATTTTAAAATAACATCCTCATTTTTTTTACTTAGTGAATGTAAATGTCCACCTCAGTCTTTATAAATTGTGTTTAAAACATCTGTTTCTGTTTTGTTTCTAACCATATATTGGACCAAAAGTCCAATATAAATTTCTTTTGAGATTAATAAAAAGCTGTACTGGCAGGGGTAGGATTTGAACTCACACCTTCTAAGAGACTGGAGTCTTAATCCAGTGCCTTTGACCACTGGGACACATTACCAAACTCACAGGATTTTCTGCTATTAAGATGGCACAGTGATCAAATCCACTCCTCTTCGTTCTGACTTACATAGTGTCCAGTTTTACTCTGAGGGGTAAAATATCAGATCTCAACTGTGTACATGAGGACATTTTGACAAGCTTGGGACAAGCAACCCCACAATTGCAGGGCTGTATTTTATTTACAGTCATGTAGAAACTATGAGCAATGGACTATCTAGAGGCCATGGAACAAGTTGCGAACACATTGTGACCCCAAAAAGCTGCGAGTTATGCATTCATCAGACACAGGTAGTTTTTATTATGGCTGTGTTTGTATCCACCTGATAATAATAAGTCCAATATAAATTTTAATTTTACCTCTGGATTTGTCTCCACCAACTCCTGAAAAAAAAAAATCTAGCTCTTTAGCAGCTAAATGCTACACTGCGTTGGAGTAAGTTGTAAAGCCAATAGCTCTGTTACAGTTGCTATCTGCTTTTATTTTCTCTGTTTTCTGACTTTCTTCTTACTTGTTCTAGCTTATGTGTTTTGCACAGATTGTTAACTTGGGCCTGCATGAATGTAGTTTTGCAGATGTGCTGTCAGTTGATCTCCAAGGTACCGACAGAGTGGAACTGGAGCTGAAGAGTGAAAGCGTGGTTCTGCAGTCGTTCAGAGCTCCTCAGATCACTGCCATGATCAGATTATTCCTCAAGGAACTCACCAAGGTGCTCTTTTTTTTTTATCATCATGGCTCATTCAATCCTCTCTCCTTCTGAAGCTTTGTAAGATCTCCTGCCCATATCCCCTCTTGCTTTAGTTAAAGCCTAAGCAATTTTAGTCCATTTGTCAGAATTTTGCACATCTGTTTCCCTGCTCTCCAGGACTCAGGCCATGTAGTAGCCCTGAAGAGCTTTGTCACAGATGACAAGAGTCTGCTTAACCTCAGCAAAGGTGACATCATCAAACTCCTGCCAATGGAAGGACTTCAGAGCGGTGAGTTAATGATAATGATAATGTCAGGCATACTCGTATGCGTATGATGGTTTTTAGAGTTACGTTAATTTGACTCACCAGATATAGATGGCAGGTATAAGACTGTAATTTCTGCCAAACTTTGGCTTCAAAGATTTGAGACATGCAATGAATCAGCCCTGCTTGGTGATTTTAGTCCATTATTCATGTCAATGACAAGTGCTTGTATCTTGCATGCAACAGAATGATAATAAGGTGCAGCCAGACCAGCAATAACACAGTACTGTGGAGATAGGTCGGGCTATACAACACCAGGGCTAGATATGGATATTTATATCCATGGTTTATTACACATCAACATCTTCTTCCCATCAAACAATATTTTTGTGTGTAATCCACCAGGCTGGTGTTTTGGCACCATGGGAGGGCGCTCTGGTCTTTTCCCAGAGAACCTTACTCAGCCATCAGCAGCTCCAGACTACCACTATCTACATCTAGACCGAAGAGATGACTTGAGGAAAAGCATGAGGAGCACAAGACCTGTCAGCCCACCTAAGGTCCAGTCTCCAAGTCCCATGAGCAGACGCATGGGGAGCACTGATTCAGAGCAGCTCAGCAGAGAGGCCTCGGTCCCCGGCTCGCCAAAGGAACTCCAGAGATCAGTACAGAGCTCAATGCAGGGCTCTGTCCATGAGTTACAGATCCTCACTGCCATGGCTGACTTTGCCTCGAAGTACTTTAGGTATGCTAGAAGAATGCTAATTATGGTTGTGGATGACAGCAGTCTGGGTTCATGTAGCATTACTAGACTAATTTTGTGCTCCCATTATTTGTTTATCAAAGAGTGGGGACTACAGGTCTGCCAGCAAGTGGGAGGAATTTTTCAGAGGCAGTTCAGCACACAGAGGTAAGGCATTTCAATCCTTCTGATGTCACGTGACCACATGTTCCGACTTTAGAGTAAGCATGTGTCCATACGATGCTGGCCTGGAATTCTAGAATTACTAGTCAACTCACAGCTATAGTACAAGCTTTTCTGAAATAAAATGATGTTGTTCAGCCACTGAAAACAGGCTGTAGACCTGCTCATCGTAAAATAAGTGCCACCACTGCTGTGGCGAAGGAGTCTATCCCAGCTGAATCAAGGTGAAGGCAGTTTCACCTGGACAGGTTGCCAGTCCATCACAGGGCTTGCTGACATATCTGTCTTTGGTTTCTTAGACCTTGCCAACAAAATTTCTGAGATATTTAACATCCTTGGTTTAAATTTAAAATGAGGAACCATATCAATGGAACTTTTTAAATTACCAAAACTAAAAACTAACTGCAATATCTTTTATTTTCATCCAGATTCCCATTGAGGAGTCCCTCATTCACTACGAAGATGATGAACTCAAAGCTGGATCTGTCCAGTGCTTCACAGGTAAGTGCATCTACACTATCACATAGTAATCACTGTTTTTCTGTTCCTCCATCATCCATCCATTTATGTGTCCCTCCAGACTTGCTGCAGTTCATGGATGACATGCCACTGAGGAAGAATTACACCAAATTAGACTGCCTGGGAAATTTCCTGCTGGTACGTGTTCATTAAATCAGTGCCTCGGTGAGTTAGATGCACTTCAGACAGACGTTGATGAGATTTAAAGAGTTTTTCTGTACTGTGCAGCGAGGCAGGGAAAATGAGATGCTGAGAGATGAAATCTACTGCCAGGTCATCAAGCAAACCACCAACAACCCAACAAAGTAAGTATTTGCCACTTAACAAAGGTCTTGGGAACAGTTTCACTTGAATGGTACTACTGAGTAATTATGAACGTACAACTTTCCAAACCTGTAAGTAAATAATAAACAATGGATTATGAAATGGAGTACTATTTATTTCAAAAAGATATAAAGCTTTACCTTGCTATCGACATTAATTTGTCATGAACAGAAAGGAGAGACATTCATTGCAGAACTTGGTGACACTGTTGTAGAAACAGAAACTTATATTGTCATTTATGGAAGATCAGTAATACATACAGCAAAAGAGTTACAAGGTAAACCCATCCTAATGCCAGATACCTGAATCACAAAAGGTTTTCTTGAGGGGCAAGTCTTCTCCCTCCAGGGTCCTTTTGAAACAGACATCAGTTTGGTGGGAGATACGGTGGTCCTGAGCCATATCAATTAAAGCCATTGATTCCAACCCAGTAATCTCTGAATCCAAAGTTGTTTTAGCAGAGGCAGTGCAAGAAAGGATGGAGGCAGAAGAATCAAAATCAGAATCAGAAATACGTTACTGATCCCTGATCAATAAAATATGGACAGTTAAATCAATTAGTTTAGAGCTAAGAATATGTCTAAGTGTACCGTTCCTCCAACTTTGCAAAAAGCACTGTACCATTGTTTGAATTTTTTCATTAAGAGAATCTGAGCAATCCAAAATCTAAAGGCTACTGTAATGCAAACACATAAAAGAAACAGCTGCAAGGCTGCTATCTAAAAAAAAAACAAAAAACAATTTAATCAAAGCAAAATCTCAAATGGCTCATAAACAGCAACAGATGAAATTTAATCCCAAAAGATGGCTTCCTAGTTGTTACAGTTAATGTCTAATTGTGGTTTGTCATCTCTGCAGAGCCAGCTGTACGCTCGGCTGGCGACTGCTCAGCCTGACAACTGGCTTCTTCCCTTGCTCCAGTACTCTGCAACCCTACGTCACACGCCACCTACAGGACATCTCTGAGGATTATGAACACCCATACCAAGGTGGAGAAAGTGATTTGACTGCAAAAAATGTGTCTGTTAAATGTTTAGATAGCTTTTTCATGATAACCATCTTTGTCGTCAGAGCTGGCGGGTTTGTGTCAGGATAACCTCCAGCGCTCTCTCACCTTTGGTGGTCGCCGCAGCACCCCCTCACATGTCGAGATGGAAGCTTTTCTGGCAAGTTGATCTTAAGTAACTAAAAACATGCTTTTCATGGTATATTTTACCTGTTTTGTGTCATTATTCTCTGTATTTGCAGTAAATCTCATTGTGAGCATGCCTTGGTTTTCTTTAGGCTGGCAAAACCTCTCAACTCATTCCTATTCAGCTGCCAGGGGGAGTGGACTTCCCCATCAAGATCCGCAACTTCACTGTAAGATTAATTTATATCTAAAAATATATTTATGAATCAAATCATTAGGCTTATATTTAATCAAAATATCTGCATGGTTTTATTTGTCTTCCTCTAGATGGTAGCAGAGGGGGTAACAGACCTATGTAAAGAAATGGGAATCTCACATATCAACGAAATCAAAGAGTTCTCCATCCTTGCTACCAGACATAAAGGTAAATCATACCAATACTGTCTAACAAACACAGAAAGCAAAGTAAGTGTTGATCATTTCATTTTAAATTTGAGTAATTTTTCTTGTGTGCATCTGTCTGCCTCGGGAGACAATGGAGTGTGCGCCATAGATCAGTTGGCAGATTAGTTGCAGTGCCTGTTGTGGCTGTACAAGCTGATGTGGGAGCGACAAGTACAAGTGCTATTGCAGTTTTCTCAGGTAAACTCCGCACTTGGCTGTTGGTTAGCTGAAGCTGGCCTCTGCCTTCTGTGCTCTTTCTCCTCTTCCCACCAGTCCTCTGTCTTTTGCTCACCAGTCTTGATGCTGTCCTTGACGGCAAGCCTCCATCTGCTACGGTCGGAAGCTGCAGCTTCCCAGCTTGCTCTGTCAATACTGCCGGCCTTCATGTCTCTTTTGCAGACATCTTCACAGTGAAGGACAGGTCGTCCTGCAGGTCTGGAGTCAGTGGCAAGCTTGCCATACAACAAGTCCTTAGAGATTCATCTGTCCTGCATATGGCTGACGTGACCAAAACAGTGAACCAGTCTGGGCTCTGCCTCTTTTTCTTGCCAATGGTGTCCATGGCAGATTTGTAGATGAAGTCACAAACGTAGTTCCATGTCCCTTCAGCACTGGTTGAGGCGTAGTCCCTGGAGACCTCTTCGATCAAACTGGCAAGGCACTCACACAAAGTCAGGGATTGATGTCTTGGCGGCACTAATACATGGGCACCCTTTCTGTTTGGAATGGTGGATTTGCTTGGGCAGAAGATGCACCATGCTGGTGACCACGGAATGGTTAGTGTCACAGTCAGTGTTGTGGTAGCTGTGTGAGATGAGAAAAAGTGAGGTTCTTCAAGTGATTATGAGATGCAGCTGGTGCCAGTGATAGGCTCTGGGATGCGGCCAGGTTTGCTGTGGTGAGGTTTGCTGAAGAACATGCTGGTGATACAGAGGTCATGGAAAGAGCATAGCTTGGGCTCCTTGCCTTGCCAAAAGAACTTGTAGTCTTGTTCTCGGAAGCTGCAGTTTGATGGAAGTTGAGTCTTTTGCAGTGCAGCAATGTCAATATTGAGCCTATAAAGCTCTCAGTTGATGATGGCTATTTTCCTGGAGTCATCAACCTGTCGCAGGTTGTCAGAGAGGCCAGGACATTTTGACATTCCAGCTTGCTAGGTCTAGGATTGGTGTTTTTTTTCTTTGTATTTTGCTTGTTGCGGATGTTGATGATCTGCTTGCCATTTATTTTATTTTTTTCTTTAGCTCCAAGAAATGAATGGAACAGACAGCCATGGTGGGTCAGCACCTTATTGGCCAGGGGCCCAGCTCAGGGGGCCAAAAGCTGACCAATGGGACTGCGATGGTGCCTTCCCACCGTAGCCCTTGAATTGACCCCAGTCTACTCTGGGCTTGAAACTGCTGCTTCCTGTGTTGTTTCTGACATTGCAAAAACAGCAGCACTGAAGTGATCTCTCCAGGGCATAGGCCTGGACATAGTGTATAAAAACCCTGGGCTGCCCAGTTGCTAGGATCCACCTCTCACCCTCACTGATGTATTCCAAAGGAAACCAGAGCAATGCGTTTGGTGCCAGTTTGACTGCAAGAGTTGCCGGCATAGTTTCACAAAAAACAACAACCTGATCAAATCAAATCAAGTTTATTGTCATTTTGCTGTACATACACAGCAGTACAGGCAAGATAAGAGAGCGTTTCTTCAGGATTATTCAACCAGCAAGTTTTGCGGAATGCACGTCTGGGATAGACAAGACACTAAATGTTCACTCTCGCTGTCTCCTGAAGAGGCGTCCATGAGCGCCGCCATTCATTGAACATGGCGAACCTCTTCAGGTCCTGGTAGGTCTTCAGGGACACAAAGACACACACGATGGTGTGACAATGGTGAAGTCGCAGATGCTGCCCAGAGCTAGCTGTCTGTCTGTCCGCCCAGAATAATGTCGTCCCCTCCAGCTCTATGTCCGTCTGGGATGTTTTCATGGAGCCATGTTTCTGCTAAAGCAAACACACAGCAGTCTTTTCACTCTCTGTGGGTTTCTCTCAGAAAACGTAACCCGTCCAGCTTGTTGTTGAGGGAGCAGACATTGGAGAGTAGGGGGACGGTCCTGCTGGTCTGGAGGGGTTAGCTTTTAGCATGGATCCCCGCTTTCTTCCTTCTCCTTTGTTTACATTCATACTGTTTGCGCTTCCCTCTCACTCGGATAACTGCCGGCGTAGTCTCCGATCGGACTCTGTGTTGGTGTAGTATGTCCAAATCACAACCGATCGCCGCAATTCCAGCACCGTTCACTGTCCTGATGCCCAGCAAAGTCTCCCGGCTGCAAGTTTTGCGGAATGAACGTCTGGGATAGACAAGACACTCAAAACTTTCACTTTCGTTGTCTCCTGAAGTGGCCACTGCATCTATGCGCGCCGCCATCACCAATGGGACTCCACTCCAGATTATCTTTCAGGGTCTCCCTTAGTTCATGGTTCAACACCCTTATCCTGCAAGCACAGGGAAAGCGATTAATGAGCGCACTTACAGGGTCACTCCTCCTCCGGCAGCAGAGTTTTGGGCTGTCGCATCCTTGCCAGAGCCTTGTTTGCCATGGTTTGCAATGATCCATGTTACTAGGTTGTACTGCAAAGCCGTGAGGATAACTTGACTGCAGGATGGGTCTACAGCAGGCAACCCATCCTTAAGTAATTTAAGAGTAAAGTATTTCTCCCACCTTTAAGAGAACCATACACAGCATTGCAGCAGGCACAGATACTCCACATCTCCGCATCTTTTACTGACTCAGTTTCTCTCTCCCAAATAGCATCTTTGTGTGTAGTGTTAGGAAAGTTGTCTCTGTAGATTCACAGACAACTGCGAAGTGAGTCGTCTGAGTTCTGACCTGAGATCTGAAGAAGCTTCTTGAATGAGAAGTTAAACATTGTGAAGAACCTTGACAAGAAGTCCAGTTGCTTTTTTAAAGAAGTTCCTAGGATTGCTAAAAATCTAAATTGCTGTTGCTGGAGTTGCTCTTGTGTGCAAGGACAACATCTCTGAATGCCTCCTCCAATTCCTAAAGGCAAGGAGACAGGTGTCAAACTCCAGACTACCCAGACTAACACTTGCGGTTATCATGCACTTGAATATGATTCTCCAACACTTTTGTGGTAAATGACTAAAGGAATGCTGTATGAAGTTAGGGTTTTTCTTCTGGACCCAGAGGCAGAACACTGGGAGTTGTGCTGGAAAAGGTGGATTTATTAAACGAGCAGTCTTTAAAGGAGAGAAGAGATGACTGAGGGCTGACTGGAGATGATTGACTGGAGGCAGTGTAGTATGTCTGAGGAAGGTGAGTTGGCTGAACATGAAGAAAGCTGTGAGGGAAATTTGCTGCTGATGGTAAAGCACACAGGCTAATTTACACACAAGCTCACAAGAGATCAGCAAAGTAGCAAATAAGAAGCACTAAAGATAAATACTCAGCTTGTTGCACTGAAGGTGGCTGGAGAGCCGCTGTTGCTTTACCACAGCAGCAGAACAATTTGGCACTGGAGAGGAGGAGAAGCCAGAGATTTATGGAGGTCTGGATGAGGTGAGATGATTTACTGGTGCATCAATCAGCCAGATGCAGTGTGGCAAGCCACGCCCTCAGCCACACACTGACAGAGAGATTGGCTGCCAA